TAATAATCAAACTCTTGTCATAACGGATTTTTAAAATTTTTTGCTTCGCATATCACATGTAAAAATATATAAAAATCTGCTGTGGCAAGATTAGTATTAGTATTTAGTAATCTTGCCACAACGGATTTTAAATAAAATTTGTTTATGTGTACCGTTCATCCGCTGTGTCAAGGTTTGACTATATTGTGGAATTAACTACGTATATGATTGAAGATATTTAATACTAATATTAATTATTTTAAATTGATAATATAATTAACAAGAATGTAAAGATTTTATTATAAATAAATAGAAAACAAAATTTAGGAATCACGGTAATAATAATACTACTAATATTACTAACAATAATGCACCCAGAATAATGTAAGTATAATATGATAATCAGGGTTTTTCTGGTAACGAAGTAGTATTACGATCTGCCACGACCTTTAATTATAGTAATCGTAATAGTAATAGGACTGACAGTATAATATTATTATAAAATAATATTTTATCACCATAGAAAATCATCGTACGTTCGTACAACGAAATTGCACAACACTGACTATAATAATAACGTATATAATACTACTACATAATAACAAGGGATTTAAATAAACATATATAACATGATAATCGGTTTTTTGAAATAGTATTACGGCCTCAGTTACAACATCTGGTAATCCATTAATTATAGTAATAGGATTATCGGTTTAATAATAATATTATTATAGGATTTTACAAAGTAATATTTTGTCACCGCAGAAAATCATTCCTGATACATCGTACATATGTAAAATTTCCTCGTACAGGTGTACGACCACAACGAAACTGTAAAACATTATTATAATTTAGCTTTGAGAAACAAAGTAAGGATAAAATAGAACGATAAATGGTGGAAATTAAATTAGTAATTCATTAATTCCTAATGTTACTAGAATCTAATGTCTATTAACAATATCATTGGCATTAATAATGAAATTTTTACCCACCTTTGAATCAAGACTATTTAACGGACTATCATTACTTGTGTAAATTTTTAAGATTTTAGATTTAGCAATCTCTTTATCTAATATTCTACTTACATGATAGGCATCTGAGTTCTTGTTGCGAAGCTCTACCACTACCACTGTTACTAGTAGTATCACCAACATTATCATTTTAATGATTTCGTTATGTTTATTTCTAGCAAAATCACAAAACTCTCTATTAGTTGGTCTTTTTGATGGATCCCCAACACCTCTGCATCATTTGCGCATAATCATCAGGAATTTCAAGTAGTCTTGGTGGTTGTAAACCTTCACATATATCAAAATTAAATTATGATCATGAGCTCTATCATCAAATGGTGGATGTCCTGCAAATATTTCCCACATTAGCATCCCAGCACTATATATATCATATTCTTTTGTGTTCTTTTTGCCCTAAGTAGTTTGAGTGCAACATACAATACAATTCCATAAAATTTATTTAATGACTTTTCATCAACTGGTCCACATAATCCCAAATCTGTAATATAACAATTAATTCCTTGCAAT